CTGCACATATCTGAGAAGAAATTCAAAGATATGTGTGAAGTCGACCAACCCGCACTTGGCCAGCGTGGTTGACTATGGCCTAATCACCCTTAACTTAGGGTAGGCTCCGAGCCCCTCGGTGGGGACGTGTAGTGAGCTGATGATGATGATGATGATTTTCACATTACCAGAATAGATAATGTGTAAATACCATCAGAATATATATTGTTGAGGAGTTTATTACTTACCTATTTTGGTGGAATCTAATCTGACATTCTCAATTCAATGTGTACGAAAACTAGTCAGAATAAAATATACAGTTGAACCTAGATAAAGGAGAGTCTAATGGACCATGATATTTGTATCATTTATTGAGGTTTCTCTCTAACCAGAGTTTCTCGCTCTTATAGGCTGTCTGTTGGAACTAGATGATGAATCTCGTTTATAGAGGTTTCTCGCTTATCCAGGTTTGGTTGTGCTAAATTATAGTTCTTTATAGTGGCAGTTTATTGCAACATTTTTGACTATAAGTGGGAAGGGAATATAATTCTTTGACTACATAATATAAAAAGCTGTACTGACTTTTAGCTTCAGGAAGTTGCAATGGAATACTATAATTGTAAGAATAATGATAGCAATCAATGGATAACTGAATTAATAAAACTACAACAAGTACAAAGGCTGATATACCAGCAAAAAGATCAAATACAATTTTGCGAAAATCACAAGTTTAAATCAATAAGAAAACCAAGTAAATTGTATAAGAAAGAAATTGTATCCAACAATAATAAATATCCTTGGAACAATGTAACTCAAAAAAGTCAGAAAAATGGTGTCTTTGATTTTATACTTAAGCAAGGATTGGCCGTATCAAAAGTTATGCAAAGTGCAAGTGATGATTTACCCATGTTGTCCTCTTTGGATGTACTAAATGAATGCAGTACTAAGTTCCTACCGGCAGAGAAGAGTTTTTACGAAAACTATGAGAAATGTCAGATGTTTGATGATAATATAAATAAAGACCAGGATGTAGAGACGGAACAATCTAAGTGAGTATACTATCTTACTAATATTTTAAATGCGAATGTTTGGATAGATGGATGGATGGATGTTTGTTTGTTTTAAGGTATCTCTAGAAATGCTGTATGCTAGAACATATAGGCTGTTTTAATGCCGTGCGGACAGAGTCGCGGGCGACAGCTAGTTATTCATAATTACTTGAAATATGATTTGAAAGCGCCATTAATTATTATTATTTATATGTATATTAACTTACAAGACTAATCCCTTTACATTGATAAGAATATGATTATAGTTGATTTTAAATGAATGATAGTTTTCTTGAAATATTTGATAATGATAATTTCAATCACGTATCGTTACATAGTACAAATCTGATACAAAAACTATGTAGACAACATAGGAATTTATTATTTCATACAACCCGTCGCCCGTGACTCCGTCCGCGTGGGAATAAAAATAGATTATAGCCGATTCTCAGACCTATTGAATATATTTATATTTATATGCATAAAATTTCATAAAAAACGATCCAGCCTATTTCAGAGGAGTATATTAACTAACATTGTGACACTAGAATTGTATAAAAAAGATTTAATTAAAGCAAAGAATGCAAAAAAAACATTTAAAGTATAAGGTATACATACGTAAAACATTTTTCTTCTTTAACCACTTATAAAGTTGTGTATTTTGCTCTAAAAAAAACATTTCTATTTCAGCATAGAAACAACAATGTTGCCAGATGAAGACGATCTGCTTTCCACGGAAAATTTAATAGAAGAACATTTGAAGCATTCCTGTCGATTACTAAAGTTTGCTCAACAACTGACTCCCGCTGTACGGCCTGCTAGAGTGAGAGGCAACATCACTCATATAGATGGCCTCTCGTGTGCTACCAATACTAGTTTGTACATGATTGCACTAGACTCTGTTCAAAATCATCACTTCGCTGAAGCACTGGGCATTGATGTTATCAATATGAAGGATATGACCGCTGTTGTTATATTAGATAGTAAGGTTAGTAAAAACTTTTTGAAGGTTAGTATTGTGTTTAATATAATTGAATGTGACAAGAGAAATTTACTTTCCATAGATCTATAACTCCTAGAACTGACAATTTTCGATAAGTCACGTGGTTTGCACAAATCAAGACAATATATTTTTATAGCTGCATTATGAAATCGCTTTGGAGCGAATGAACTTTGTCTAGGGAGGCTAAACCAGTAGAGAAAGCAGATATTGGAATTAAAGAAATGCCTAAATTTGCATAGTTGCATGAGTTTAGAAGATGCCAGGTGTGTTAGAATCTTGTCCGATATAAATATGCATCTCTTTTATATTTTTTTAAGAGTGGCAATCAATACGTACTTAAAGAAGAATACAGCGCGAAGTCGGTGCGTGACTTTATATCAAAGTTCCATGAGCGAGGTTTGAAGCCGACGTTGCGGTCACACGTCGCGGCCACGCACACGCACTACTACGGCTCCAGCACTAACCTGCAGCTCGGAGAAGTTATCAATATCACCGATCTCACATCTCGCACATTCAGAAAATTTATTACAAGTCCAGGCACGGTGAGTATCACTAATATTAAGAATACTAGCACTGGCCCACGACTTTCTCACCACAGAATTTAAAAAATTGCCTATTATATGTCCGCGTGCATTATATTGTAATACATACAGATACGATTAAAATATAAGGTGGCAAATGAGCAAGCGGCCACCTGAATTCGCCGAAATGGCGAAGCAACTGTTGCCTAAAGACATTCGCAATTGCAGATGCGTAGCCTACCTTTTACCGTGCTTTATCCGGTTATGTAATATCAGGTGAACTTTGTGTGCGTGTGCCTGGGTTCTTGTGGCGCGCACGTGAGCCGCGCGCTGCTGGGGGCCGCGCGATTGCTCAATGCGTGCGGCGTGCGCGCGCGTCCTGCACGCATTGATGCCGCGCGGCACGACCTGCCCGCGAAATACGACGTGCATCACCTCCCCGCACTCCTCGTCTTCCTTGCTGATGGGTAAGATTACATATAAAAATCTCAGTTATTATTATAATCATCCTTCAGTGTACAATAGCGATATAAACTGTATTTTTCTCACTACAGATGCCAGTATGATCATATTGAATTAAAAATAGGAATACTATTTTTAAATCGCTATAAATTCCTATAAAGACATGAAAGCCCAATCTTGGTGCTAGCGCCACCTAAAGCTTATAATTTCTCTCCCCATTTAATTTTTTCCGATCAGATTAACAGAAATTATTTTTTCATTCCTTCTTTCACCTTCAATTTTTCGAAAAGTTTTCTAAAACTAAAGTCAATATTAACGCGATGTTTGTTTCTGCAATAGAAAATTGAAGGCAGTCTAGTAGTTCATTTTAAAAATGATTACATAAGTGACATGTAGTGTGGTATGGTATAGCAAAGGCGAGGCGGAGAGTCGGGCGTACCCGGTGGGCGCGCGCGTGTCCGCCAGCGGTCTCGCGGCGCTTGCGATGCGCTCGCTCGGCGCACCGCAACACCTCACAGTGCGACTCGCGCTCTGCTCACACCATGTACGTCACTTCAAACTTTATATACTGACGAAATCGATATACATAAAATCGATTCGATCTTCAATCGATTATAAAGTACAGATTATTATTTTTTTAATTCCAAAAGTAATCTTTAGACCGTTTAAATTTGAACCAAAAACTAATAACTACATAGCAATATTGGTTCCAGATTAATTATCGAGTTCGGCCTTTATTATTATTATTGGGCATAGACAAATTTACATTTTTTAAACAGAATTAAAAAACGTTTGACTAGTTTCCACATGTGTGACACAAGTAAATGCTCCATTCTACAACTAATAGTATTTGCATTTACAGGCAAACATGGAAAAGAAGTCGTGTCTGAGAGATATAAGGGAACAAACAACAACCATGATTGGTAGAAACTTAAAATATTGGCGTCGAACTGACGTCAGGGAGCTGAAGGATTCCTTTTACAAAAGACTGCAACATTTAAATCAAGTGTCTCTACAACTCAGCTTCCTTCATACGTCCGATCTCAAGGAAAATAATCCGAAACTAGTTTCACTTATAAATTCCATTAAAGAATTATCCAAAGTGTGGGAAGTTGATATTTCGATGTTAAGAAAAAATGCTGCCGCAACAACAAGATGATATTAGATAGATATTGTAAATAGTGTATATTTCATCATTTTGTAACATTCGAAACATGTTGTTAATATTTAAAATATCAAAGAATTATTATAATGTTGATAAAGAAAATGTACATTTGTTTTATTACTACGTTTTCAAAAAGTTACATCAAATTGCAAGAACCTCTTGTTTTGAACCATCTTGTTTTTTTTTAAGTACAAAACAATTACGTTTATATCAGTATTGAGGCTATAGCAATACCCTTAAATATTCTCAGTGTTAATTTTTGATTATAAAATGAACTTGTAAAAAAATTGCGCGTTTTAAAAAAGTAAACTATAAACACTGAACTGTTTAATAATAACAAAAATCATCGAACTAAAATTCGACGTCCCGACCGTAAAAGGATAGCGTATTTAACTTAGTGCTCTTCCTCCAACCTCGTACCAGACTGAGAATTGTTGTTATTGACTTACCGACGTATAATTCTGAAAAGAAGCAAAGTAAATTAATTACTTATTTTTTCTATAAAAAGAACTACGGGAAAAGCACACATATTGTATGAACTTTGCTACACACGTAAAGAAATATAAACCCTCTCGGAATCCGATGGCAACACCAACCATGTTTATATACTAACAAGGCTATCTGAAACGGTGAGAATAAGTCGAACTAAATTATGACAGCTCACTAGCGTCCCTCTGTCAACGGCAAAAATTGTTACTAAAAATAATGGATGAATTACCAAGTGCTGATCTATCAGTATAGTTCGGGTACATTTCGTGGTAGGGCTTGACAACGTACACCAATTCAGTGCCGACCACACCCGCTAAATAATCACTTAGCGTCCCCGCTACACGCGCGTCACTACTGCCCTGATGTACCTGGAAATATAAAGTACTAATAAATCACTTACATGTCTGACTGAAATTTCTTATGGAACTAAATATATATCACAACATGTTTCGATACAAGTTTAAGGTACAAACTTACCTCGTAAAGTCGTCCGTCAGTCAATCGCGAGTTTCTCGCTGCGTATTCTCCTATCGCTTGCAAAGTATGATAGTTGCTGTGTTGCCGTAGTGAATATCTCCAAGGGTATAAAATGTACTCCTGTTCAACAACAACATGAAAATAAATTCTATGACTGAAAATTTGTCTACATATTCTTATTTTACATCGACATATAATATCATACCGCACATACTCCTTGAAAAAAAAATAACATGTCAATACAATTCTAATTGCGGTCATAATCACAGTTAGAGCCAACATAATGAAAAGCCTATAACATTCTTTTGAATAGAGCTATTGATGCAAAAACAAATTTCAAACTCAATACGTCATTAAGATAATCGTATTCGAACAAAAAAATTAGTGACCTTTTTAAATTCGAAACTTGCATGTAGATGTATAGCGAGGTGTATCCTGTCACCCAGTTGATGAACGTACGTCCGAAGTGCTGTCGCCTCTGTCGTAGAGAACGGCTTATCTCCAGGGTAGTATTGAGAACAACGCACTGGAGTCTTATGGACATCATCTATATTACGTTAGACATTTAACGTTATTTGTTTACAAAAATCAAGGCAATACAAGCTAAGAAAAACGTATGTGAATAGCAGAAAGACCAAAGCGACAAAAAAATTAACTCACTTTCAGACCCTATGGATTGCTATGGCGATAAAACCATATGTGATGAAGGACATTAAAGCTGCACTACGTCTTTTAAAAAAGCAACACTGGTCCTGAATATTTATTAAATAAAAACGAATAATATTTCAGTAAACAATTACCTTGCCAATGGTATGCAAAATTGCGATTAATATTTGTACCAAAACAAGTGTCGTTTGCCATTTCCTTCTCGACGTTTTTATACCAAAAGCTGGGCCGAGTAGTATTACTTGCGGTTGCGTTTCGGCACCATTGCTCCACATTAAAAGATTTACGGTTACGTAGACTTTGTGTGAAATTTAATCCGTCGGGATTCACTAGAGGTATCATATACCTAAAATCACAATTATCTTCTTAATAAAGAATGAACCTTATATAAAAATAGAGGGATGACACATTAGCGCGAAGGAAGATACCACACGACTAGCATTGTCGTGAACAACTTGATGCGCGGAAAATTCATGAACTGTAAATAGGACCTCCTAAATCGTAATTACGTATGTATCAAGTTTATTAAAAGTCGAATACTTTTGTGGTCTGGAGCTCAGACATCAGTGCCTTCTATAATAGTAGCTCTATTAGCTTTATATTCTTCTACAGGTGATAAGCGAAGGTCGACTTCTATTTTCCTCTTTACAAACAAAACTCACCAATCGTAATCATTGAAAAATGGTGTTTGGAAATTACTGTCATAAAGTAATTTGTCTGTAAGTTCAATAATTGCATTCGGCGTTCCCCATGTCATACCGTTGATTGCTAAAATATAAATGTATATAAGTTTTATTTTTCTATTATATACACATATTTTTAATACTAGTTAAATAGTGTTGAAGGTGTATACTTCCGATTACAAGTATTCCTGGTTTTTTACTCTGCCTGTCGCTTTGCAGCTCAAGACTGAGTATGCTTTGATTATTAGCTGTGCGGGGAGTCAAGTGGACAACGCGAGCGATCTCTGGGTCGTCTCGACCCATATTCTCAGCGACATGCAATAAACTTTTGTAATTCACATAGTTTGTAAATCTTAATTTTTGTCCCGTGCTTCTCACTTTACGCATTTTCGCTCCGGACCTGTTTAAATATTAACTAAGTAACAATGTAAACAAGGTTCAATATATATTTGTTGCAAATTTGTCTTACATTACGTAATTTCTTGGTGGAAACAATAGTATGAACAATGCACCAAAAAAGTACAACGTTGCAATTAAATATATTTTAACTTGTAAAATCATTATCACAACAAAACTGTTATTTTGATTATAAATTTAAAATTATTTTACACATTAACGTCTTACTTCAAAGAATATAGAATAAAAAGTGAACGCGATAGGTGATAATTGCTGCTTAGAAAATTCTCTGAAGTTAATTTTGAAATGAAAAATTTAACAAAAAAATTCATAACTCTTTTCGCGCCCTTTAGGTTGTAAAAATAAAACCTTATTGTATGTCATTGAATAAAATTTAGTTCCTTAACTAATCAAAACATAAAACATGAATTATAATATTCATAAAAAAGAAAAACTCTGGCGACCAACTTCTATCTTTATTATCCTTGACACGACTGATTCTGTCACGAAATGTCGGGCCACCTTGTCAAATCATCATAAGATGAAGTTTTGTTCTTTCTTAATAATATGTCATTTATAACAATTTTACTAATAATAGGTTTTATAAATCCAATACAATCTTTATCTAAATCCAGCACCGATGTCATCGCCAGTTTGTATAATGTGTCACGTAAGAATCTTGCAGACGAAATGTATCTAACAATGTTTTCAAACGAATAAGTACAATTATATGGTCATTCCAGTATTTCGTCACAAACGAGCTCACACAGAGTATACGCGGTGGCGACCCAATCAACTGTCTACAGAGGAATTTATCGTAAAAGTACTCGATGATGATATACCAACTACGACCGCAAAAGAAGTGGTCGCAGTAAATATTTTAGCCACAAGAAGGGATGAGCCGAAAATTATTGTTGGAGGAGCTGTGGTGCCCTCACCAACCCCACAATTTCCGGTAGATAAATTCAAATTATATACAAGATATGAAACTACCGTCCTAATGCTTATATCAATATACACATTAATTATTTACACAGGACGTGGGCGTGAGCGTCAGTAGGAAATCAACGTATTCTCCTAAAGGTACTTAAACATATTACGTTAATTTCATGGATTGTGCTTGAACGTTTATCTGAATTATGATTTGTAATTAGCTCATATTCGAAACGACCCACCGTTTCCTCAATACAAGTACGGAGTGCTGCCTCAACGGGATGAGAGTCCGCCTGCCGGGCCGCAGTTCGTCGCCCGGCCGCCGTCATTGTTGTCCCGCCAGTACGCGCCCATTACTCCCGTCGTCTTCACACAGCGCTCTCCAGCCACATACCTCACTCCGCCGATTGTAGATCGCCGTGTACGTTAACCTTCCATTCTATACAAGTCATGAATCTTTGTTAAAACTAATTCAGTCAAATAGTATCACAATCTGAAACGTAATCTAGGTTTCAGTAAAAAGATTAACGAACAATTAAAAACTTCATAAATTATACGAATATCACATTTGTTGCAATTGACAGACTCCACCCGGAACGTGGATGAAACCATCAAGAACTGCACCTTTTCCGGATGTAGAAGAACCTTCACGGACGTCAATTTTTGATAACGAATTTGTTAATTTTCACCCATTCGAAGATGAAGATATGAAATCGAATCCAGTTTATGTGAGTCGCAGCTCATACTTACCTTCCACAGTACCAGAACGGACAACACCACAATATAATATATATAATGTCGATGAGACCACCATAGTGGATACTCCTACATTAACTACAGAAGGAGCACCGAAAACGACTGAAAAAGTAGACGAAGATAAGGAATTTGATCCAACCTACGGTATGATGTTTTATAGTGAAGAGGATAACGAGAATTCCAAATTAGAGCATAAAGCATATAAAGATGAGCCTGAACCACAAGCTAATGAAACACACGACGAAACTACTTTTACAACAGAATTAATAAGAAATGTGTCCATTGAGAACTTAGAACATCAAGAACCGGACATAAGTAGTGAATTGGAAATAGAATTTCAAAATGCAACAAATATTGTTTCTAATATAACACAAACAGATACAGAGTTTGCTGTCGAGATATTAGAAGCACCAATAATTTTAAAACATAATTGCAGTTTGCTACAATTACGGCCTTTGAATTTTAAATCGCCACGTACTTTGCCAGAGGTGAGTGATACCATATAAGGAACCTTTTGCAAAATAAGATGTGCCTTATAGAAACAAATTCCTAGTAATTCATTGTTCGTTTTCAGATTGTAATGCAATTAAAACGATGGGCTGAGACCAGTCCCGTAGCGAAAATTGCAGATATAACCTCGGGAAACTATACATTAATGGAAAATCCTATTTACATGATGATAATCGACGA